CGTCGGCTGGCACTGTTTAATGCAAAATTTAAAGGAAAATTTGCAAATTCTGTAGTACCCATTTTGACGGGCCATTTACTCGCAAGGCAATATATTTAATGGGTATTTTTCAATATTTTTTACTTTTACAATGATATTGAATTGTTCCCATTTCAGGACGAAGCGATTATCAACAGCCGTTTGTCACTAATTTCATACATGTTTCCATTCGCCAAATATCTGGCGAACGAAGATTTCGCTCGTTATCTCAGAACCATTATTCAGGTATCAATCGGGCCTGAGTTCGCCAATACATGCCGAAATCACTCGATGTTCCTGCTGGTGAAAGTTTCCGTAGAGTTTCCGGAATTGCTTATCGTGCGCGTTTCCTTTCATTTTTTGGTAGTATTTTCACTAAGATTTATATCATAGGCTTATCGCTCAGATTTGCAAAGAGAATTCATGAATGTTTCTTCTCAACTGTCGCATCGTCAGATGTGTTACGTGGCTGAAATACTCGTCGCCCTAAGCAGTTATGCGGATGATTTCGACTCCATGGAGCGTTTGATAGAACAGATGTCATTACCAGCTAAAAATTATTTCAATTCGCCTGAAATTATCAGGTAAATGCCTTCCTCGAAATCGTGTTTAACAGAAGATAGAAAATTTTTCTCATTCGTTTGTCACCTTGGTCTAACAGACTGTCTCCTTAGCAAAAGCTAATATAAATATCTGTCAGGAATATTCGGGACCGTCGTTTTGGTCCATGTCTCAGTTGTTCAAGATTTTCACTCAATATGTTTCGCTGTAACGCTGCCGTTACTGCTAAAATATTTTTTTACCGTTTTTACCGTTAGTTTTTCGTTTAGGAGAGAATTCGTTTTGCCTCGTGGCATAAGCTAAGTTCTTCTAATTTAATTTATTTCTCTCCACGCTATGGTCAAATATTGCCGATAACCTCAGAAAGAACTGAATGAAGTGCAAAATGTAAAGGATATTACTCACCCATTACAGTGATAGTATTGTTCGAGGCAAATGATTAAACGCGGTATATGAGCATCTACGTCTTGATGGCGGCCGAGCTATTTATACTGTGTGTACTACGGACCAAAAATGCATTTTAGCTTTAATACTGCTCAGTCGAAGAATAGCAGCAGGTTCGCGAGTAAAAGCACTTCGAAAACGTACCTGAAACATGACATGTGAAATACACTTGTCGATGCGCCCCGGTTCGATTATCCCCCGTTAGCGATTTTCTTGAAATGGAGTTAATGTGTGTTTTTACAGTTTTGCATGTTGCGGAAAGAAGCAATAGGAATGAGAATATATGGGAAAGTTAAATTGTGCTGCTGTGCAACACGGTATCATCTAACCAGCATGAAGTGAGGTGAACGATTTTTATGCTGTGCAATTTATGTCTCTACTGTTGAATTTGGGTGATTTTTCAGGCCTGAGGGGAGGGGCCGTTAATTTTTGGATCTCTCTGTTCTGTTCTGCTTTTTCCATATCCTC